GAGATGCCAACACAAGCTCCGGACAATGCAGCCTGGTCACTGAGTTGTGGGGGCCAAGGAGTACCCCAGGAAACCTGAGCGCTGGACGTGCCACCAGGTGAGGGCTGTGGGTGAGGGTGCAGATGGAAAACCGGTTAAGTTGTTACCTTCCAGGGAGGCTGAGGCGGCTCTGTTCTCGAACCCGGCCCAGCCGAGGGCAGTAATGAGGAGACGCGCAGAAAACACAAAGACCGAGTCTGAATACGAAGGGTGAGAGGTTCCCTCAGGTCCCTTCTGCCACTCTGCACCCATAACTCAGCCTGTTCTGTGCTTCCCTCCAGGCAGAAGACGAGAAAATTATTTTCTGGAGAAATAGGCCCAGAATCAAAAAGCCTTCATTCGGGACCTGCCCCCCCGCTGCAGAAAAATGGCAGAGGAAACACCCGTGTTCTGTCGCCCAGGTGGGAGGCCCAGCAATGGTAAGTCCTGTTCTTAAATATAAAAAGTAGCAAGGACATCAGACATTTGAGGAGCGCTTCTCACCCCAAGGTCGAAGACCAAAGCAAGCAGACAGATGGAAGGGACTCGGGAGGTAGACATAGGGCAGGGGACAGAAGAAAACTATAATTAACATCCCCAGAGACAGAGAGGGATTCTCTCTCCCACACCAAGAACAAGGGGCTATAAAAAAAAAGAACAAGGAAGAGTTACTGACATTTTAAAACACGATAAAAGAAATAAGACATTCAATGGAAAAGCTCAAAAGTAGAGATTTTTTTCAAAAAACAAACAAAAAACCCTGGAAAGCAGAACTAAAAAAGAGCCAAAAAATTGCAAAGAAAATTCGGGGCTCAATGCAGAAGTGCAACATCCTATGGGCAAGAACTGCAGGAAGGGAGAAGGGAGGGAGTAGTGGGGAAGAAATGATCAAAGAAACAGGCAGGAAAACGTCCCAGAACCTCAGCACTGAAGTTTCCACGCTGAAAGGGTCCACCAGGCTGCCCGGCACAATGACCAGCCCGCTCCCGTGAGATTTCAGGAAAATGGGGATAAAGACAAGAAAAAAAGGCAAAAAAAAAAAAAGAAAGAAAAGAAAGGAAAAGAAGGAAGGAAGGAAAAAAGAAAGGAAGGGAGGGAGGGAGGAAGGAAGGAGACATTAAGGATCTATCTAGCAGACTTTCCAGAAATAACACCAGAAACTAAAAGACAATAAAAACATGTCTTCGAAATACAAGGGGATAATGAATTCCAATTGAGAATTATATTCCCATCAAACACCAACCAAATAGAACAATATAATAAAGATATTTTCAGATTCCAAAAACAGACCTCCCTTGCATCCTCTTTCTCAGGAATCTCCTGGGAGATGTGCTCCAACAAAAGGGAGCGCAAGCCATGAGCACCCCGGGAACAGGTGACTCGGCACAGGAGGAGCAGCAGACTGTCCAGGCTGAGGATGAATGAAAGAGCCGCAGCTACAGCTGAGCGGCGGCCTGCAGGCCTGCAAAGCCGCGGTCCCGCCTACTAAAGAGGACAAGGCTCCAGGAGAAACGTCGCCGGAGAAAAGCAGAGCTCGGGGTTCCTGGACTAGTCCACTTTACCGAGAACAGGATTGGTGGGGTTTTTTTTTAATTCAATTGGAGGATTTGGGAATAAATTAATGATAGGTACATAAAAAACTGAACAAACTAAAAAGCGAGACAAGTAATAACTGGAACAAAACCAAAAAGTTACACAAGAAAAGGAAATGTGGCCCTGGGACACCACAGGCTCAGCTCTGAGAACATTTACAGACACACATAATGCAAACCCTGAAAGGAGACTTAGGAAAAACAGGCCAGCACGGTGGCTCACGCCTGTAATCCCAGAGCTTTGGGAGGCCGAGGTGGGAAGATCACTTGAGGCCAGGAGCT